GGCTTTGTAGAATCGTTGTTCTTGCATGGCTTGGGTCTTCCCCGGGGTTTCCTCCCGGTGGAACATGCCCCAAACACCTCTCCAGGGTTTTCCCCGATTTTATGGCCACCCTATTTGGGTTGATGGTCAACAATCAATACACTAATAAGGCTCATCTGACCCCTCTATCGGTCAACTGAGGTGCCTTAAAACTCGACTACAAATCTTGGGCTTAGGTTTTGTCAGGAGGACCTCAGCGGGAGGATGTCCATTGATATAATTGAAGTTGGTGATTTCTTACAGCACAGTTGAAATGCAGTTTTCTGTTGTTTATACTTACACTGCCATCAAGTGATATGATTGTGTATGCATCAGTAGGTCATCAGTAGATTTTGAATTATCAACTTATTCCCCAAAAAAAAGAAAAAAAAAACACAAGCCATAAATGTGCAAATGAGAACTGTTATAAGAGCAGGACATATAGAGTGCCAATACCTAGACAGATAAATAACTCATATTATTTACATTAAACAGAAAGTAGTGCAGGTGTCATCTGAACAAAAGCAGCTTGACCCAAGTGAGTGTGAGTAGTGTTAATGACCAACAGGTAGGTGCCTGGTCTGGGCTGAAATCATGATGAGGTTGCGGTGAGCCCGGAGGCAGAGTGTGCACGCTGCTATTGGTCTGCTGATGCTGATAAGAGCAGACAGGGTGCACTGTGCCGTGGAGCTCTTGGGTTTGCTGTGTTTCTTCCATGAATGAGCCCCCGAGTTTCTGTGAGTGTAAGAGGAGAGAAATAACATCTGCTTCACCTGTGTTTGAAGATACCACTCTTGAGATGCTCAGCTTTTATCCAACAGGTTGATACAGTCGTTGTGTGCTATTTTGCATATTTTATGAATGGATATGCCGGCCGTGTATAGCCATTTTACAAAGGTTTATTGTGCAGAAAAATATCCCACATATGACTAAGAAAATTTACACATGATTCATGTCACAGTTAAATGCACATACGGCTGGAGTTGAATTACTAAACTTTCCACTTGAACTATCAAATGTGAACCTGCAGAAGATGAGATACATTCCCTCTGTTTTCCCTACCATTAAAAACATATACAATGAGACAGTGAGTAGCTGTTTATCAGAACAACTCAACTGTCACTATGTGAAGATATGCAATGCCATTTGCTATACTATACATAATATTACTATAGAGCTGGCTAGTACTAGTCCAAAACTAAAAAACTAAAAACTAAAAAATAAATGAATCTATTGGCATCTGTATTGGCTGGTGGATTCTAGCATAAAGTTACTGGCCTAAGAATTACGAAAACTACAGTGTTTGATGGAATTCATGGACTTTCAAAAAAATAGTCTCGTAGAGGAACTGAAAAAAGAACCATACAGGAGCCGGGCCTAAAAAACAGAAATTGTTGAAGTACTTTTTAAAAACATTTCAAAAGTTTCCTAGCCTTTAGGGCTGGGCGATATAAACGGTATAAGCGGTATGCGATAAAAAATTGGTCAACAATAGAAATTTTTGTTATACCGGCATATTGCGATAGGTTATTATGTCATCAAATTGCAACACGCTTGGCCTGATGGGACCGGCAACAACCACGAGGAGTGCGGCAGCTGGATTCGTCCCGGAAACCGTGTTCATCCAGAAGTTCAGTTTGTCAAAAAGTGTAACTAAACATGTAAACAGTTTGTGTTGTGATATACAGATATTATTGATTTATGCTCATATGTATCAAAGTTTATTATGATGAATGGTGGAAAAAAGCTCAGAGAAAAAAATGATTTTAGTAGCCGCGCAGCTAGCGCCCAGATGCGTTCAAAGGCACACAAAAATGAGGCAAACACATAGACAGTTTAATTCTTGATTAGATTCACTGTCCTTTACTTGTTTAACTAATAAATAAATGTGTTCAACGAGACTTGACTATGTATGTATGTATGAATGTACGATAACGGGATAAATTATTACAATTGTTTATTGCAACAATGGAACTTACAAATGGGTGGTTTTATGCCGCTCTCTCTAGGGCACGCACTAAATGTCAAAGACATACTAAAAGTATCAAATAAATAAGCATTATCCAGCTCTAAAAATGAAGTAAAAATCTTGACTATTTTATGCAAGAATCTGCTAGACACACCAAATTATACCGCAATATATACCGTTTACCGTCTGTGTCCCAAATTATACCGCAAAATTAATTGTAAGCCATATCGCCTACCCCTACTAGCCTTATATCTTTTGCAGGATAGATGTGACGATTTTGTAGGTGGACATATTATTGAAGCATACTTAATATTCTTGTTGGAAGATCCTAAGCTTTTGTCAGAACTGAGACATCAGGCGTTGAGGAAAATAACTCTGACACACATCCTATGCAACACATGTGTATAAGCCGAATATTGTTCAGTTTTCCCATGAAAGAGGCACTTCTACCATGGAGCCTCATGACACGACAAAACCCCATTACAAAGACAAACCATAACATGCAAAGTCGACAGAAGGCTTATATCCATGCACTGTTCTCCTGCACACATGCAAAGCCCAATCCCCCGGTCGTGAGGTGGCAGCAGTTTGAACAGAGGAGGCCTATCACTGAGGTATGACATCCAGGACCGCTTCATGACAGCCAGCGTACCAATCCAATTTTGAAGACTTTGAAAAGGTGGCAAAACAGGCCTGAGCCAGCAACATGAAAGGTTTGGGAGAGAAAATCCTTGCTCAGACCCCACATGTATGATTTGACATCCAAGGGGGCAGCTGACAAATAATTAGCAGCTCTTTAAGTAGCTCTATGAACCGAAGATCAGGTCACAAATGAGCCGTACACCAGCGCCTATGAGTTCAACAGGGAGTGAGTGAACGCAGTGCTGTGTTGAGTTTTAAATGTTTGCCTTGCTGCACATGTAGGCAGAGGGATGACATTTAGCAGCTGCTGTTATTATCTGTCTGCGGCCTTAATATATCTCTAACACCTCTCGAGAGAATGAGAGTGGAAATGCGTGAGTTGCTGCGATCTTGTCTCGGGTTCGCCTTGGTTTTGTTCATGGTTTGAATCCAGTTTTGGCTGTTGCTTTAAGTCCAGTGAAAATCTGGGATGTCTGGCAGTTTTCTGTAAATAATTAAATGTTTAATGCCTTATTATATGCATTGATAGTATAACTTTGTGACAAAAATCCACACTGCTGGTGCTTAATTGTCACACTTCTCATCTTATCAATGGAGAAGTAATTGCCTAAAACAGCATTGGTGGACTAAGCTTTGGTGGTCCGTCACAGTTTTACTTGCAGACATTCTTCTTGTATGCATTGACTATCAAGTGTCCCATTTTAATCTTATTTCCCAGGCCCCATTTCTCCTCCATTAAGGAAAAAACACCTTAATAAATTAATCAACCAACTGACCACAATCACTCAGTTCTAATAGTCCCACTTTTGATCTGGGATGCATGGTATGAAACATGTATGAGTGGATACAGGTCGGTGCACATATTGTGTGTTATGCCTCTGTCTATTGTGGGTATACACTACTACATGTTGTGTGACCATGCTTTGACATCTCATAATTACATCATTACGAGCCCTCGTGCAAGAGAAGGGTGTGTTGCAATTTGCAACACGATCGAGTCAGGCACTTGCCCTTGATTATGGACTGGGGTGAAATGGCTTCCTCATCAGGCTGTCTTGATTCGGCCCAGCGTGCGGTGAGACACATGCTGCTGTGGGTGAATCTAATTGATTGGATGGCACCCAATTCCCAGGTCCAGGTCTCTCCTCAGGCAGCCACAGAGCAGATCCGTCCAAGTGAAGGATGAGCCCTGGCTATAATATATTGGCATGGGCGCCCTCCCATATGCCTCTGGTATCAACACTGCCGTATCGCAGAGTGCACACTGGTGACTCCACGGGGCACTGTCATTCTGTTGCCTCTGATGGGGCGCTGTGTGTGAGAGTGGGCAACAGGAATAAAGACCTTATCATATCTCAGGACGTGGGAAAAGGATTACGGCTCTGTAGACATCATTCTTTCAAATGATAAACTACTACTGTAGCCACAGCTGCCCTGGGGTAGATTGAGGCCAATCTGTACCATGAGCCCCTCTAACCACCACCAATCATTTATATACACACTAGAGCATTTGTGAAACCAATTATTTTAATAGCCACAATAAAATGCCTCTGATAAAACTAGCCGGTCTTGTTTTGTTATGCATTATTTCATTGATTTAAATGAGGGTGCAGCAGTCACAAAATTTAAATAATCAAGAAACCATTGTGTTGATTATTGCTAATGATGAAGAATTTCACATTTGCTTTAACACAAAACAAACCAATGTTTGGGTAATTTTTTGGTAACAAGAGAAAAACCTGCCTACTAGACCGCCAGACTGAGAAGCAAGTAACACCGTAACGCCAAGTGAGTTTGCAAAACAAATTGAAAAAGTTATAAAGAAAGACAGACAAAACTTTGGAGTGGAAGGGAATTAATGAAAATCCAAAACATAGTAATGTAAATTGAAAAGTTTCTTACCAACTCAAGTGGTGTTTGGACTACCTTGGTTTTACAGACAGATTATACAGGGCCATTACTTCTGTGTGCTCGTCTGTGACTGTACCAAGTAAAAAGCAGCTGAAAAGCAGTTGGTGCATTCACATTTGCACAAACACAACATCAAACTAAACCTGGACTCAACCACCAGGAGGAAATCAGTTCCATATAAAAGAGCAAAATCGGGGTCAAAAAAGAGCAAACGAGTGAAAAGAGTTTTCAATGTTTGAATGGAACATGTGTGTATGTATTTATATGTAATGTATAATTTTGTGGACAGAGGTCACTGTCATTCTCACATTAACAAAGAAAACTTGTTGTTCAACAGGTCAAGCTCACCTCTGTGCGACAGCAGAAGTGCCATTTCAGACGCTTATTGGATGAGAGCCGCTTTTGCCCTTGGGCACCAAAGATGACGTTGCCATGGAAACAGCTTCTCCTATTATCAATCATGGACTGTCTGGCAGGTAACCACCTTTTAATATGAGTAATGATTCTTTCACATTGAGAGGCATTTACAGTTGTGTTGTGGTGAGTGTGGAAGGCTATGAACGATGGGATGGAGTTGATTTAAAGAAACCCTCCTTGATATTGACACCCATTCACAATACTAACTCTGCGGTCTTCATTTTTCTCACCAACTAACAGGATGCTGTAGACTACAAGACTGACATGTAGTGACATATGAGTTTTGAAAGGCAGTACAGTACTTAGTCATTCAAATCTAATTGATAAAAGTTCCACGCTGAAACCATCTCACTCTTCTTATCATATATGCAGTGCCTTGCGAAAGTACTCGACCCCCTTGAACCTTTCAACATTTCGCCACATTTCAGGCTTCAAACATAAAGATATAAAAGTTTAATTTTTTGTCATGAATCAACAACAAGTGGGACACAATCGTGAAGTGGAATGAAATTTGTTGGATAATTTAAACTTTTTTAACAAATAAAAAACTGAAAAGTGGGGAGTGCAATATTATTCGGCTCTTTTACTTTCAGTGCAGCAAACTCACTCGAGAAGTTCAGTGAGGATCTTTGAATGATCCAATGTTGTCCTAAATGACTGATGATGATAAATAGAATGCACCTGTGTGTAATCAAGTCTCCGTATAAATGCACCTGCTCTTTGATAGTCTCAGGGTTCTGTTTAAAGCGCAGAGAGAACCATGAAGACAAAGGAACACACCAGGCAGGTCCGAGATACTGTTGTGGAGAAGTTTAAAGCCGGATTTGGATACAAAACAATTTCCCAAGCTTTAAACATCTCAACGAGCACTGTGCAAGCAATTATATTGAAATGGAAGGAGTATCAGACCACTGCAAATCTACCAAGACCCGGCCGTCCCTCCAAACTTTCATCTCAAACAAGGAGAAGACTGATCAGAGATGCAGCCAAGAGGCCCATGATCAACCTGGAGAAGTCTGATGAAAAATTGGCATTTTCCTGGTGGAGATAGCTCCTCAACAGATTGTTTCTTTGACCTGTTGTTTGAGGCTGTAGAGTTGAATTGTATTTAGTAGCACTTTTCTTACAATGATAATACTTTAAGTTAGGGGCTGGGCGATATGGCTGAAAACTATATCACGATATAAGTCATTCATATCGGTCGATAACGATATATATTGAGTTTTTTTTTTTACCTAAATAAATATATTTGTCGTGTGGGCTAACCAACCTTAGCAGCCTTGTTTACAGTCACGGGGCGATGAGGCTGGAGAAATATGTTCACACTGTGTCCCTCGTTGTTAGTCCTGGTTTAATCCTGGTTTTTTATTCCTGGTTTAGCTCCTGGTTTAGCTGTTTGAGGGTCTTGTGTCCCCGTGGCCGCTCCGTGCGGCTCTGTGCCGCACATGCTTCCCGAGGAAAAAGTTAATCTCTTGCTTTCGCCGAATACATCGGGTCTGTCCACTGCCTCTGCCGCCGCACATGTTATTCCGCGCACGTACGTGCATAACCATTGACACGGCATTGAAACACGAGCTATAGATCCATGGACGCTACGCATGCTGCGGTTGTTGTGGTTTTTGCATTTCCCACAAAGTTTTGCGGTTCCTGCTCGGCTGTTATTGGTCGAGAAGCCTCCGCCTACATCCCCCACAATGCCATGCGCTTATGAGTCGGCTTTACTTCCGGTGTTTTCTTCCTGTTTTTCCTGACGGAGTTAAGTTAAACTATCGAACATTCTATCGACCCCATTCTCTATTGATATCGAACACATGTCTATCGCGATATATATCGTTATCGTTTTATCGCCCAGCCCTACTTTAAGTTCAGGGTAAACCTTTAGCTGACCATGTGCAATAAATATTGAAGGTCATGTGCAAGCGGCTGTCTGTTCTACTAATTTCAAATGAGAACTAAAGAGTTCAACGTATGAAAACTGATAAATATTTTTTTTTTTCCCTAGGGACACGTTACTTGTATTATAGAGCAATTCAGTTATTTAGTTAAATTTTGGAACAAGTCATGAGTGATTATTAGAAAATACTTGTTTAACTAACACTAGTCTTAAATGACGCAGAGCTGATTCTACCACACAGGAGCAAGATTTGTACAAACATGTCACTTCCTTTACATGTCTCGGCAACAAAATTGTAGAAGGAAGCCAGACTGCAAAGATACAGCCCAATGTGAGCTTTTATAGAGCGTAAAAATGCTGACAAGAGCCTAATTTGATCTATAACATATATGGCACACAAGGTCAGGACAGTGGAAATGAAATGAACGGGGCAGAAAATTGCTCACTTAATCAAAATTCAATCATAACTTTTGGTCCGCTGAAGAACTTCCCAAAACAGTTTCTTTTGAAGCCGGGGTAAAGCTCAACCCCAAAAATAACTAAACACATCAAAATAGATTAAATGTTTAAGATAATTAATCCAATAATATGTATGCTTCATTGAGGATAATAATAATGTGCATAATAAAGTAGAACATCTGTAATAGAGCTATCTTTAAAAAACCGTAACAGTGCACTGAAAACTATTAATGCATTTTAAAACGAGTAAAACTTGGATCTCCACTTGACCTTTTATTATTATTTTCATTACTGTCAGATCATTAGAGGATTTCCAGGATCATAGGTGTGACACTCAGCAGCTCTGCATGTCCAGTTTTAAATGTTTTATTATCTGTAACAGAGTGTCTGGACGGCGTCTCGTTCCATGGACCGAGTTGGAGGATGGAGCCTGGAGACCTCTTTATCCCCGTGGACTCCATTGAGGAAGAGGCCACTCTGACCTGCGACGCCAAGGGCAACCCACCACCCCAGTACAGGTAGGAGCTCCCAGTATTAGTAACCATAATGCATTCTGGTGGAAGAGGAGGGCTAATTTATATTAACCAAAAAGAGCGGTCTCCAGCGGTTACCATAAAACTAACTGAAATTGTGATTGGAGAATGAAGATAAAAGTTAAAATCTTAAACAGTAATAATAGTAAGTGTGATGTGATAAATGGAGACCTGTACGTACACTATATCAGCTTTTTAAACCACTGAATTTAGAAGTTACACGAACAGCCCGAAAGAAAACATTTTACCTGAAAAGATTTCCACAAGTGTGAAAAACAAGCTGACAGTTTTGTTGATTCTCAAATTCTCATTCCTATCTAGTTTAATCTCCTGTAATTAACACTTGGGCTACATGCTCCTGCTGCCTTTCTAAGTTAGTAAATGGGATTGTTTAAAACAGCTGTCAGTAATTACAAAGCCAAACAGTATCTGATTCACTTCTGTTTGAAAACCTATTTTGGTAAAACATTTGTAGATAAATCTGATATGAAAGAGAGCTGTGAAACATCTCTGGTCTGGGGTTTCCTGCCTGCTTGTCCACATTTATCATGGCTTTTTCTGGACGTCTACAGTATGACATTTAATCTAGGATCCCATTTCAATAGTATGCAATTTATTAAGTGATGCTTAGTTTTTACAGAGATAAAGTAACATCGTAACAGTAACAAGTTTAATATGACGATATATCTATATATAGTTGGTGTTTGCCAATATTGCTTTTCAAAACATCAGTGCAATAGAAATGTGCAAAATCAGGATATTAAAATGTTGTGGTTTGAATATCTGTCAAATGTTAAGAAACATGCATAAAAACCATTTTTTACCTTTATTTCGAAGTTTGTATCATCTAACTATAAACATTGTACATATTCTTAAAACCACATTCACAATATATTGTGTATAAATATCATGCAGGGTGCATTTACACATATCTTCTGTCTTGATCCTTTTCCAGTGCCTGTTTAATCATAGCTCCTGGTTTAGTCCCAGTGAGAATGTGGAAATTGCGCGAGTGTGGAGGCACCTAAAAATGCGTGCATCTTTTCGAGATCACCCCCACTGCATTTTAGTTCCAGCAGTAGCGTTGCTGTGGCTGGACTAATTCATATTGACTAAGAGGCTGCCAATCTACCACCAGTCGCGCCTGATAGTATCTCAGTGACACACGTGAAGCATCCTAATGATCGAGTGCGCTTGTAAAGTCACCCTCCGACCAATGGGAACACCAGTCGCAACCAACAGCCATTGATTACGAGTGTCTTTGGCGTTCACCGGTGGAATTACTCGTGGCCGTGTGAGCTGAATGGTACTGATGTGTGCTGCTCTCATTATTCCGGAGCTTTCCGAGTCCCGCATCTAAGTCTGAGGCATTACCATGTAGTGATTAAAGGTGAGATGAGCATGGTAACCGCGCGGTGTCTCCGTGTGCTGCAGAGGATGCCCCCAGCACCTCCGCGGCTCTCCTCTTGAAGTGTAAATTGGCCTAGCGCTGCCCCCACCCTTTTCCTCCTTTCTCCTGCCAGTCCTGTCACTCACAAAGAGATGAGCTCCCATAGTATCCTCAGTGTAGCTGCATAATAAAAGATCACATACGGTTAAAGCAGCCTCTCCTCCACCAAACTCATAAAAGTGATGGAGGGATTTTTCGGAGGGTGACCTAACCTTTTCTTGACCTGGTGGTGAAGTGGAACTTTATTGTTTGCTAAAACAATAAAGAAAATGTATGGAGTTTTTCTATTCATCTTTTTTTCCCGCCTTATCTGTTGCTGAGTTGCGGAGGCAACGCTGATATGCCTTGACTTCCCTTTTCAAAGCATGGATCTATATAATATCTGGATAGGGTATTACTAGCTTATAGCTGAAGAACCTGTGTGCTTTGGGGCTTCCCATGGTACTGCTGACTTAGTAAGACTAAACTCAAGTGGCCTACCCAGAGATTTTCTCCATAGAACTCAATGTAAACTAAAACAGCTTGACCTCAGCTGACAGAGAACCTACAGCTTTCATAAAGGTCGGAATTTGTGGGGATTTTAGTGTCCCTTTTCATCCTGATTATTTTCATCCATCAGTGGGAGTCGTGAAGTAGGTCTTGAGGTGGGCTCGAACCCACAACCTTCAGGCCCAAAGGGTCTACCAACTGAGCCGCTGTCGCCCCCCTGATTATTTTTCTTCTGTTAAATACTTTGGTTTTCTTTTAATTCACACTTTAGTGCAACAAACTCCGCTCGGTCGTCTCTAGCTCCGCTCTGATCAGCAGCACCTGATTGGTCAGAACGTGGCCTACACGTGCATGAGAGCCACACATTCGGGCTTGTTAGTATTTACTGCAAAGCATGTTGGGAGGTCGTCCACTGATCAAAACCGGGAGGACCAGAGAAGTGTCCAAGTATGGGCGAGTTCCGCTAATCTTTCGCTACTGAGCACAAGCTATTGCTAACCCCAATTACACGGTAATGCACCGCCATCTTGGATCGCCGGGGCTTGACCCAAGAACATATATCTAACAAAGTACCCATTCACTCTGCAGAGGAAACTATTTTCAAGCGCTTCTGTGAGGGTGTGAATGTAGATTCACCAGAACATTTACATAATTCCAAGGCTAACAACATGTTGATGTCGACTTCATTTATATTGCACAACAACACTAGCTGCACTTCATATTCACAAAATGAAAATAAGTACAAAGAAAAGCAAGAATAAATAACATGTTTTATTTTCAAGATCAGAAATTGGATAACATGCTGAATATTAGGACTATTTCTTTATTTGAAAATCAAGGTAGTTTCCAACCTTATGATCTTACTTATAACTTTTATTGAACGACTGAATACAGGCCAGTCTTTGCCAGTCACGTGATGAATTCCTTCCTGGACATTTACTGAAAGACCTTAAGAATTCATGTTTTTCGTTCTTGGTGTTACGATTCGTAGCTGTTGCAAGATAAGAAAAGTGAATGTAATCTGTACTTTCCTCTCCTCTGCCAGAACTGTCAATGGCTCACAATGAGATGAGCTTTCCCATAGTGTGTTCTGTGCGGCCGCTGTATTACAAAACCCTATATAGAAGCACCCTGTACTTCAATTGTCATAAAAGTCTATTTGAAATCAGAGTGTCTTTACTTGGCTCCTGTAGCCTTGCTCTTTCCCCCTATGACCTCGTGCTTGTTCTTTTACCCTACCTGATGATTCCAAGAGCCATGCACACAAAACCGCGTTCAAAAGAAGTAATTGGGTTTGGCTTTGCTTGTAAATCACTCGCCTGGTGCTCAATCACTTAGCTGCAGTGACACAGTGGGTGGAGGAGAAATTACTCGTATAGAAAACATCAACAAAACACAAATACTGTACATACTGTATACTGTTTTGACCACTTTGCACCAAGTAAATGTGGCTTTCATGGTTTATGCGTCTGTCTGTTGAGGTTAGAAGATTTCGCCGACGTTAATGGTTGCAATTTTATTATTTTCCAGAATTGAGTTATAATATTGACTTACGAGGTGCTATTGACATCTCTAAGCAAAGACTTGGCTTCTTGACCTGCATACATAGCAGACCTCGGAAACCTGTGGGCTGGGGGCCACTTGCGGCCTGATTCACATATCTTTGTGGCCCCAGACCCTTAATGTGTAAACCAGTCTAGAAATCTCAGATTTCCTCCCCCCCGATGTATAGGGATTACAGGGGTCTGACCGGTTTTCAGGGAAAAGAAGTGAATACTGCATGTGCCTATTTGGTGCAGTATTAGTCTCCTCTAAACAGGTTGATGTAGACTTGTTAACGCAGATCTGCCTAGGTTATGAAGACATTTTGATTGACAATATATTGATACAGAGATGTATTGGATAAACAAAAACAATATTGAAATAACTTTGAGCCACTGGTGTGACCACCAAACATTCGCTGTGAATCATTTTTAAATGGGCCATGCATGGGACCTGCTCTGACCACCTTCCAAGTACACCTCCCCTGGGAGGCATCCAGGAGGCATCCGGAACAGATGCCCGAGCCACCTCAACTGGTTCCTCTCGACGTGGAGGAGCAGCGGCTCTAGTCCGAGCTTCTCCCATTTGACTGAGCACTTCACCCTTTGTCTTAAGGAGCGCCCAGCCACTCTGTGGAGGAAACTAATAGGGGAATAGAATGTGGCATATCTATATTTCTTCACACAGATATCCATGAATGTGCCTTGTCCCTATCAAATAAATTAATACAAATATATATACAATTGCAAAAAAAATGCAGAGGTGATAAATATTGAGACCCTAAATATGATATCCCATGTATTAGTTTTTGGATGATAAATCAATATAGTAGATAATGAGACTCTGGCAGAAGTTACTGTACTGAGTGCCTTTCAAGGGGAGAGTTTTTATATTCCTTGTGATGATTTTGCAATAATGTTAAAGAATAAAATTAATAAAACATGGTAAAAAAAAGTATGGATTTCTTCCCCACACTGCATTATATATCCAGTGATAATAAAAGTCAACTTCAGGTGGAACAGTAACTTTGTACTTTCTGCTATAGCGCACTTCAAAACCCCCACCTTTACTGGCGGAGGCACCATGCACAGTTCTCTTGTTCTCCTGGGGCTTCCTATGGAAATATCACATGCACATATCTACCATACACACTACCCATCCTAATATTACAACTACATTTCATGAGCAGTATGAACAGTGGGAATTACCTCTTTCTTTTGGTACAGTGTAATATCAACTTTCACTGTACACAAGGCTCACATTGACCATGAGTACTGCCTGCTTTCCAGCACAATATACATTTCTATATTGTGCCTCAAAACTTGCTCTGGTGAATTCAAAGCTGAGAATATACTAACAATAGAAAGATTTGTTCAACTGTTCAGTGGGATCAATACAGCTTACTGTATGAGGCTTTTAATGGATCAGACATTTATATGAGGTCTTGTTCTCTGGTGGTTGGTGCAATGTGAATTGGGTGCCACCCCCAGACCTAGAAATGGAC